ACTCCTCAGCGCTGAAAGTAAACACTCGATGGTGATTGGCTAATTCTTTTTACCAACGGAGGCACGCAAGCTCAGCTCTCCCTATTCTGAGACATGAATTGAAATGGAATTGTGAATTTTATTAACATTAATTCGTCCTCCTCCCATTGTCACCTCAAAATTTTGGGGAAGCTGTGCATCCCCCGACGAGCCTCCACTTTGGTTTGTACTATGAATCAACATTACTATGCTGTTTTGGTGCATACGATTGATTTTTTTCAAATATGCTAAAATGCAAGAGACAATGATTCAAGTTGCACAGTTTAATACAATAAATTATAGCTATTTAAGATGTAGAAGCTTAAAGCATGAGGTCAAATGGATGGCAGCCTAGTTGTATCTACATTCTGTATTCTGTTATGTACATGTAAATTTGCCTCAGATTTTATTAAAACGTTAATGTTAAAGTAAACTTTAAAATTAGACTATGTTGAACTTAATCTTTTATACACCCGAATACATAAATTAATTGTGTATTTTGATTGTGTAGTCTTTACATGCACTACATCTTCTAGGGAACTCAGTTAATAAATAATATTTATTTACTTTCTTCTTAACACCATTCCAGCATCTGTGGCTATATTCATGGCGAGAACCAATTAATCCATACACAAGTCAATCCATAAACAAGTCTGTTTTACACACAAGCTGAGGGAGGGACCATTTAGAATCTTCAGTTCACCTAACCCAAGACATTTTAGGCTGTGGGAGGAAAAAAGGTAATTAAATTAACGAATTTATTTTAATTAAATTATATTTAAATGAAGTTTAAATTACAGTGAAAATGCTAATTATATATGCAACATACGTCATCCTCTAAAGAAATATACATTTTATGAACCATTGGAATATGAACAGAGCAATCAGAAACATTGCACAGCTGTTTTTTAATGTATTTAATATTTAAGTAAAACTGCCAGATGCAGACATTAGTGCCTCAAGCCAAGGTGCCTGATGCTACCAGGGATTGGGATCCTTGCAAGATGCTAAGGCATGAAGAGGCCACTCTCATCAAACTGAGGGGTGGAGAGTCTGAGGCAGGAATGTCTGGGGCAGCTGTGACAGGAACAGCTTTCACAAGAACCTCTTGGGCGGTAAGGAACAGCTTTCAGGAACTTCAGGGCCACTCACTTCACTTTCAGTGGTTTGGACCTGATTTGCAGAGGGAAGGACTTCAAAATCCCTGAAAGCAGCTTGGTCCTCTGCTTGCTGACCCAGACTCAGCTTCTCAAAATACTCCTTCCTCGTCTTCTTTTTCTCCGCCATCTCATTTCACTCACCAGCAGACTGACGTTGGTACTCCCAGCGAACAGAAATGTATCAGTAACTTTGCTTTAAATTCCTTGTTTTATTGTTGTGATTATTTTTTTTATGATTATTTTACTTCCTTTTATGTAAAGCACTTTTCCCATTGTGTATATAGATAAACTTGTTTTGCCTTGCCTTATACTGACATGCCTCTAGGTGTCACAATACGACCACATCAGAATATTATGTGAACCTTTTACGTACTGGCAGCCCTATTAAATAATCTTATTTGTATTTTTCATGCCACTGGCAAATGATCCATGTCTACTGTAAAGCTCACAAAGAAAATGTTTGAAGGAGCAGTGGTGCCGTGATCTGTAATCAAATGGTCATTTTGTTTTATTTATCTTTTTAATTGCTCTACAGAATGTCCATGTCAGTATATGGTGTACATATTGCACTGGCAAAATGTTTTCTGTTTCCCCAGAAATGTTAAACTATAATTTGTTTCCAAATAATTATTTTGTTTATAAAGCTATTTATTTTGTTTTTATTTTTCAGTTTAATTCAGGACACACTCAGTTGTTTTTTATCTACAGTATGACAACGAATAAATAAATTAAGAAATGTATCTTATAATTTTTATAATTAAAAAAGAGCATAACCTAGCCACTAGTTTTGCATCTTTTTATATATATATATATATATATTTGTAATGTTAAGCCCTTTTATTTATGTGTGTGTTTTATGTAGTCAAATTTAAATGAACTGGTCAACATAACACGTTTAATATGACTGAATCAACCTGCTAAACTAGTCATTTTAAATGGATCAAGAAGAAATAACTTAAGCTAACAACTGCACAATATATTTTACTGTAAATATGTAATAAGTAACTATGAGTAATACAACAGGCAGGTTGCCAAGTCTGTGGAACTGCTGCAGATAATTAGTTGAAACAGGAAATCCGGCTACTATTTTCTATGGAAACACTAAGGGAATTTACAACTGAAGTAGTATGTCCACAGAAATAAGATTAAAAATAAATAAATACATCACAAATAATAAATAATCACAAATAAAAAACTTGTATTAATTGTAAGGGGGATAATAAGTATATATTGTAACTTAAGTAGCCTAATGTAAAGTTTTAAGGCACTCTTCTTTCAGTGCTTTACTGATTAAAATAAATTATCAAATCATTTTTAAATGCCAGAAAAACTTACAGAACCTTTAACAGACCTTAATTTGTTTAAATAAAACGTCCCTAACCAATGAAAAAGAAGCGGAACTGTATGCGTTTATATTACACAGGCAGACCTGGCAACCCAGAGGCTATTCTGCAACAAATAACCACACAAATAACAGACGATCAAATAAATCAATCAATGCTTTGAAAAACATGCACAGGGAACATTCAGTTTAATGGAACACCAAGCACTACAGTGCAATATACATCCAGACAAAATTGTCTAAATCTGTTTTGCCTAAAAAATACATTATTATTATATGATCTCAAGAGCGTGGGCAATGATTTCCCCATACGTTGCAGGACGAAAGTCTGTATTGTAAGGAATTTATCTTTTTTGTCGGCCAACCTTGCTCACTGAAAGCCAAGTGCAAATTTAGCCCTCCCCTTTAATCGCCGTTTGCCCGAGCGCTGATCTCTACAAGCAAAGGAGAGGACAGCGAGGAGAGAATATGAGGTAGACAGGACTTTACACGGGAATAATGGCGGCGCCGCTCCGGCGGGACACCTTACCTGACAACTACTCTTATGGGGTGTGCAGGGACGGCAGGGTCTTTTTCTTAGAGTGAGGATATATGTTTACTATTGAAAGAATTTCTTTCTCATACCGTTCGAGTGTTTCCCAGCCAGTTGCATCGCTAACAGGTGGTTTGTTTTCCTGCCAGCGATGAGACGAGAAGCACTTCCTGGCTTCATCCCTGCACTGGTGAACCTGTCAATTCTGGGCACATGATCCGATCCGGTAAGTGCATTTAGGCTTTCATTTCCATTTCAGTATTTAAGTGTTATTTCGTGTTGCATAGGCATAAAAGAATAATTGAATGCTAAAAGTTTCGCAAACGTTCTATTTTTCTTGCCTCCTAGATCTACCCACAGGTTGGGAGGAAGGGTTTATGAAGGAAGGAGCGAGTTTCTTTATTGAGTAAGTGGATGTGTTTATAGTAATTACACCTTACTGCGATCCTGTAGTGCGTCAGGTGGATGACAGGTCATAAGCGGGCTTAATATGGGTCTGCTAGTTGCCTGGCTCCTGATCAGCAAAAAATGAATGTTGAGAATTGTGCAGGAGGGGTATCAAAGGTAAGCTACAGACTACAGTACATGCACAGTTATTGTCTTTGAAGACTGGCATTCAAGTACAAAGTCTACAGAACAGAACAGGTGTACACGCCCCTTTCAATTTA